TCATCTTTTCTATGAGAACACATCATGATGTGTGATTTACTTACGTTATATAAATGTAAATCTGAATACAGACAGCAGATACCTACTTTTTCTTTTTAGGTTTTTTTTTTTGCAATTTAAGTCCCTTAATCCCTGTTCCTGTGTAACTGCACACTGCAAGAAGGTAGGCTCTAAAACCCTTATCATTTTAAAATGACAAAGAAAAAAGTGCAATTAGGGCTCTTGACAACTGATGCAGAGAGAACATTCCCCTGTTGCTACTGTTGGGGAGCTTTATGGTGTGATTAAAATGGCTGGCTTAGTCGAGTAGCAAATACTTGTATATATAAAATAAAACAGCCAAAGGGGTTGTGAAGATAGTTTCTCTGGTGTGGTAAATTAGCATCTGGAAATGATCCGTCTCAAGTATCAGCTGGCCAATCTGCGAGGAAATGTATAGAATTCAAAAAACATTTCCTTGATTTGTTTGTTGTTGTTGTTGTTTTAGTGGATTCGTCTTTCATTTAAAGGCAGTAATAAATGTTGCCAATCAACATGCCCTACTGAAAATTCAGCATGATATGATCCAGCCTGAAGAGAATACTCATTGTCTGCATATACTTAATCTGTGGATGTTTTTGCTTTAAAATACCCATGGTCTATTGCAGTGCCTTGCAACTGTTATTGCAGTGTGTTGCAAAACCAATTAATGCATGGAGACTTCTTTTTCCTCTGTTAGTTACTCTTCTTTTTCAAGTGCCAAGAGCACTTCTGATGTAAATAACAATACGAAACATTGGCCATACTAGCTGTTTTGACACATCTCAGCCATCAGAAACACTCCAAGACCTTTATGTCACATAAAACAGCCTTCTTGCTATGTTTTTTTCCTGCCAACTTCGTTGTCCCTGGAAACATTTCACACAAGCGTAGGAGCAGAAGGTCAGTCAGTGTCCGCAGCCCTTACGGAGCACATACTGTCTTGTCTCGTATCTGTTGCCTACTATGAGGCCAACACACAGAAATAAACACCAGTGGCAGCAGACAACTCCTCCATCTCTTCCACTAGCAGAGTGATTTCATTTTGAATACATTATACGAATGTTTTTGCGATGGCTGCATAGAAGCAGAGACCTCTGACTAATACATTGTTAAAAAGGTATGGTGAAACAGGTATGTAGCATTTCAACCATAATCTTCTTCTATGACTCACTGTCACAGGAGCACTAAGACATGATTATCCCTCTGTGATACACTTGTGACCCACCTGTCCAAGGTGTGGTTCTTTAGCCCAATGTATGCAGGGACAGGCTCCAGCTCCCCCACAGTCTTGAACAGTATCGGCGATATAGGAAATGAATGTATCGAAAGCCTGGTTTTCAGAGAGAAGAAGAAATCCTACTCAGACAGTGACATGGCAAGTTAGTTCCTGCAGACGTGAGACGAGGACAGGATCTGACAGTAACCAGCTCCTACATTTATATCCAAATCGCCAACATGCTCCAGGGCTGACAGTTAGGAATACTACATCTTCTTCAAGCACCGCACTTCCTAATAAATTGGTGCATTAGAGCATGAACTGCTCTTGAGATTAAAACCGACCTCAGGTCTTGTCAAGTCCATTAGAAAAATGACATTTTAACCTTTAAGCTCTTCAAGTGGTGATATGAGAATTGGTTCCTTCAACAAAAAAAGTCTATTTCAAAGAAAGAGCAGATCAGCTGGGGTCAGATCTGCTGGGTGAAAAAAGCGATAGAATGATTTTTAGTTCTCCACAATACGCAGCTGTTTTTCTGGTCATTAATTCGTTTTTGAACTGGTGATCGTGGTAGTGAATTTTAACAACTGTGGGGTTTTTTTGCCTGAGGAAAAACTGAATATATAATAGAGGACAAAACAAAGCTGTTATATTTGGTCGGCATACAGGAAAGCGTGTGATAACTTAAGCAGGAAACAAAAATTTTACACATTAGCATTCATGAGAGGTCTTCTTGTTTACCACCGGTTATGGAGCATTTTTCAGTCTTCAGCACAGTCACAGGTGGTGTGGAAATTCTCGTCCTGTCCGGAGACTGCTCCGTGTTTGAGTTGCAAATATGTCGTGTTCTGAATGAGCTGCTACCTGATTACCAATGAGCCCCAAATGTATTCTGTGAAAGTGAAGATGTGCTGACACAGTAGCCTGTGTCAGCGGAGACCTCGTACGGTTGTACACATACGGGCCTCCCGTACAAGGCAGAACTGCTAATAAATAGGGTTTGCAGCAATCGTTTCCCTTATAAAAACAACCAGTTAACATAGTGCACATATAGTCAGAAGGTCCTTGAGTGAGTTGGCAGGCGAAATCTGGAGCACCTGGCCTCAGCGCTCACTACCATGTAGCCCCCAGTGATCTGTGCGGATCTGTCTCTTTTCCTGCACCTGCAACCCTTTTTCTAGTTTTGCTTAGCTGTTTGTTCCACACTTCACAACTCCCCACACTACACTGTCCACACACACACAGTTGTGCTATACTGCTGACTAACCTTGTGTGTTTATTTTATAGAAAAAGGATTCAAACTTTGGCATTGAATGTCCAGTTTACCGTTTGGCATGGCCCTACAGGCAGGAGTATGACAGTATGTGAATAAGAGATATTATGAAGTATACCTTCACCTAACTGTCATTAATGTCGTAAACGAATGGGTGAACCTGCTATATGCACTGACCAACATAGCCTGTTGGGTTTCTTAAATCTGCAAATCACACCAGATCTCTTTTAACAATCTATCCTTATTTATTAAAAATAATATATTATTTGATTAATGGCATTAAGGTTATATGTTAGAGATGGGCTATTGCACCTTTCCCACTCTGAGAGTATTTGCCCCACAAACAGTGCTACATTAAACCAAAACCAGAAGCTTCTTACAGCCGGGTGTGTGTTCAGTATTTCAAAGGTTTCGTGTGGAGGACATTCAAACTCAAGAATAAGCCAATGCAAATGAACTGCACATGCTCACAATTAGTTGCTATAATTGCATCCAAGCACATCCTGAGGCCATTAGTGCTAGCTGGGTGTGAAAAGGCTGACCAGCACCAATCAAAGTCTACTGAGAACTTCATTTGAGGCTTCGTAATGGCCTGAGCTCAGGTCGTTGTTTTGAAGCGTTCAGTCATTCTGGCGGCTGCTGCTCGCCTGGGACATTGAATACAGCACTCTTAACCCAACAACACCAGGCGTCCGGCCCCTGACTGACTGCCGCCCCTTCTCCAAATAAGGTCATTAGAGGAGAGAAACCGGAAGACTCTCCATGGTAACTCACTCACAAACAGGAGGGGCAAAACAATGGACTAGTAAGGATGAGATGATTGACAGCTCGTTGCGGGCTCGCGCTCGCTGCCTTTGACTGCATCCATTAGCGATAAGAGCTTACAACAACACACCAATACACAGAATAAATGACGTTTTATACGCGTATTTGATACAATGAGCCAGTCAGCAGCACGAAACCTAGCTCCCTTTGTCGTACCACATCAAAAAACACCGACTATTTCACAAAAGCGCGATAAATCTTTCCAAACACACCGGGTCCGTGTACCCTCATCAATATGCCTCATCTGAGCACCTGCTCGCTCAGCCGTAAGGCAGCCGACGGTTTATTTTCACCTTTCCTGTGTCAGTTTACATTCGTATTGCACTACTGTCATTACATTGTTGTCACACCCTCCTCCTGAGTTGTAACGACACAGGCTAAAACTTGGCGTTGCGAGGTAATCACCACATGTATCTGCGCGAGAAAGCAGAGAGCTGCGTTGACGTTACCTCAGTTTCTGTTGTTCATCCTCCCCCGTGTGATGGGTGTGCGGTAGTCCGAGCCCCGGCTGGATCAACGCTGTTGTGCATGCAACTTGGCTGCTGCAGGGATAGACAGACAGATTGGTAGACAGATAGATAGATACTACTGTTACAACCGTCCAAATCCCAAACTGTAGTGGTCAGGTAGCTGCTCGCGCGTCCCTTCAGTCACGCGCGCGCACGCAGGGAAAAAAAAGCCCGAAGTGTCCTAACTGATGTAAAAGTTATTTGTTGTACTCTTAGCGACTGTCGTTGGGTGTTAGTAATTAGTAACCGCGCCGCTGTGTTGTCTGAACAGGCAGAGCAGCCTCTATCGCTCTCATCCACAACAGGGCTGGATGCTGTCGGTCACAGCAAGTGTCTCCGCCCCATCACCACACGCACCGTACTGGAGGACAATCACTGATTGGTTTTGTTGTTGTGGTTGTTGTTGATGATTTTATCTACAAATGAACAATTAAGGAATTTGTTCTTATTATCACTTTCAGTTGTTCTCATGTGGTTAATACTCAGTGCTATAATTACATCCAAACAGTATCCTGTTAACTCGCCCATTAAATGCCACAAAACACAGAATATCAGTCCCTCATATGTCTCACTTATATCTTATATTTTATTTTATCATTTCGTCCGTACTCTGTTTCCCCTGATTCGGCACATCTATTGTTATATTAATTTACTGGTACTGTGGCATCGTCAAGTCAGCACAAATACAAAGAAAACCTCTAGTGAATATTTTTTCAAAGTAAACGTTTTCAAAGCGACACACTGAAACAGTGCAATATGTTTAGATCCTTGCAGAAGAAATAATTAGTTTGGTTTTACATTTTAAAACAGTCTACAAGCTTCAGAGTACTGTGCTATGTATGTATAAGTAATCTATCTATCTATCTATCTATCTATCTATCTATCTATCTATCTATCTATCCCTAATAACGTTATCAAAGAAAAAGCTGCGCTCTCAAAATGTTGCGGTCTCAACAAACCATGCCTAAAATCCATACTGTAGGTAATTTCACCAAAATATGTTTATATGATCCATGCTTTTATTTTGAATGCAACTGTGTCCAGCCGGAAACGCAATGCTTGTGAACTGACCAATTACAGCCAACTTCAGAGCTCTGTTGGAAGTGCACTCGTTTTAAGTATTTACAGTGCCGGGGTGGGCGGGATTCTGGACAACGCCGAAGAATAAACCCTCGCATCCGCTGTGAAAGGCTTATGAGACGACCGGAGAAACAAATCGACGGCACTCAATGTGAACACTTCCTTTTAGTTGTCAACAACGAGTGTAAAGGGACAGTGAGTACAACTAGCCGACAGCACACACTGTTCAACTGTTGAAGACAGCGGACAAACATCTGCACTTGAATGTGTGCCGCTTAACTAAGTTTAGGTAGGTAGCTAACGTTCGCCTGGTTAGTCTCTGCCATTGTTACGTGAGACTGTGAAATGCTAACGATAGCTAGTTTTTGCTCGGGTTACCAAGTAATGCTGAAACTAGTCTGCTGGTAGAGGCAGAACTAGTCATATGTCACGATGTTACTTAACCAGTTTGATCTGCAAGGCGAGAGTTGTTTACACAGAACACACAGCGGCTATGCTATTTGGCTAGCTCATCTTTAACCACGGCTGTAGCAACTATTAATAGCTTGTTATTAGACTGTTAACTTGCAGTCAATGTTGCCTGTCTAATAAATAATATAATAGTATAACTTTTAGCTTGGTAAGGGGCTACAATAATCTGTAGTATCAGATTATAACCGAGCACATCATTGAATGACATTGTGACTCATGAAGGAGCTTCTGAACCTCTCTTACTTAAGTGCTACCTTTGTACTCCTTACAGTAACAAGAATCATAAAGATAATAAATGTTTGTGATACTATTCCTAACACTTGCTATTCTGAACATGGGACAGGTTCACAGAGGCACACACACACACACAGCATGCCCTCTGGATGGTCCTTTTGTTTGCCCTACAGCCATGTAAGTACTGAAATAAGTGTATGTGTTCTGATGAGTGCATCGTAAAGATATGGCACATTCATAAGTCTTTTTCTTCCCAATACGTTCTCTATGAACACAGACAGTGAAGAAACCCTTTAGCTGCTGTTATCTCAATCTGTATCATATTGCACAGTCTGAACGAACCCAGGTCATGATCTTGTTTCACAACACATGTCTTTATTTCTACAGTCACCACACTCCCACACACCCATGCCAGAACTAAACAC